AGAAGAAGAAGAAGAAGAAGAAGAAGAAGAAGAAGAAGAAGAAGAAGAAGAAGAAGAAGAAGAAGAAGAAGAAGAAGAAGAAGAAAGTGGGGAGGAGGAGGAGGAGGAGGAGGAAGAAGATATTTTCTCCTTTGGCCCCAGCAGTCAAAATCTACTACTACCCCCAAGCAAAACTGACTATTCATAAATGAAATACAAATGGAAATTATAAAACATGGTTGTAGCTCCCCCACCTCTTAAATATAGGAACTGAGTAGGTACTTTTTCATCCTTCCCCCATTTCTAAAAACAACAAATTACTGACTGATTTAATAGAATTGTAGGGCTTAGCAACCCCCTGTATGCTGCTGTGTAAGAATACAAGCCTTTTTGTTTTAGTAACTGATGATGGCAGGCCTTTTAAATCTACAGACTTGGTGGCGGATTGGGGTTCACGCTGAGAGCCCAATGAGAATATTCTGGATGAAAAACATCCAGAATATTCTACAGAGGCAGTGCTCAGAGCTGTTTTGTGAACATATGAAGAGCTGGATAGGACTTGAGGCCTAGATAAACCAAAGGTCTCTTGAACCCATGTGCTAAAATATCCTTCATCCAGGTACAGTGCATTATATGGTTTCCTATTTGTGAATTATATACCTCATTCTTTTGGTATCTTTCCTCAGAAATAAAGGTACAAAATCTCTCAATTTGAGAGATTAGGTAGGCTGTTCTTTTCCTGAGAATCTACCTTTTCTTTTCTTCCTCAAGTTCTTGTTACCATTCTCTATCAGCAACTAAGTCTTTATGTTAAGGTTGCTTTTTTGCTCAATAAGACTGATCGTACATTCACTCTTATCCAGGGTTATAAAATAAATGTGATTTGATCTGAAGGTTCATCTGCTTAGTAATTTTCATTTTGACAAAATAAATAAATAAATTGCAATTTGGTAGAAGCTTTTGGAAAGATTGTAAAAGCACATGAAAATCCCGGATAAAACTAGGAATTTTCCTGAAGATAAGTTTTTTTTTCCAGATTGATCTTCTCTAAAAGAAAGGCTTTCTTTCTTTCTTTCTTTCTTTCTTTCTTTCTTTCTTTCTTTCTTTCTTTCTTTCTTTCTTTCTTTCTTTCT